TAATAGTTCCCAATCCTTGGTCACAGTTCCCAAATATTGTCGAAACTCGGGAACTAAATATCTTTAGTTGTCGAAAGTAATCCCTTTTCTCAGTGCATACCAAGCTCCAGTACTCCACCATGAACATTTCCAGAGATATACAGTATAAAATTCGGCTTGTATGGTAGGTGCCACGCCACCTTTTCCAATAGCTCCATATTTTCTCCATGACCATGCGATTAATTTCATATATCTCCACACCAAGTTCCAGTACTCTACCAAGAATAATTTTTTTCCCCAAGAGTATGCGATGGATTTCACATACATATCTCCATACTAGAACTCTACCATGAACATTTCCAGAGATATGGAGTATGAAAAATTCGGTTTGCATGGGAGGTCCACGCCCCTTTTATATATAGAGATTTTTGTTAGTCGATAACCATCCTTTGAACGTCTGCAGCAGGACTCCGAAATTTCGAAAAAATCGGTTCAGCCCGTCTCCACCTTTGTAATATACATACATAGAATCTATGCCATAGATGGATAAGAGTTGCTGCTTTTCAGTTTTTCACTGGCTACGTTACACTTAACATTTGCGGTATGTTTCATTACGACTTAATAGGAGTTCTAAGCAACTTTTCGCTAACTTGGAGCGTATCCTGTTAAACTAATTTATATTCTATCGTACAAAACTTAATCGGCCAAAATAAATCAAGAAAAGCTTGTATTTTTGTACTTTTCCTTGTTGAATTATCGAAAACTGTTTTTAGGTTTGTGAAAAATCCTTCGCCAAAAGGAGCAAAATATTAAACGCAAAATGCTTGGACATGATAAGAATTAGTTTCAGATGTCATGGACCATTTGTTAGGGCACAAGAGCGGGCGTGCATGCTAGCCGTTCCTGGTCTAGTTCAGCGGGTATGTCGTGGTTCTTACTCATTGATTTTGCCGCCAACTTCGGGACATATAAAAAAAATCATGCACTGAGGGGAAACAAACAATAAAAATTGAGAGAGGTGCACACAATAACCTTGGTGGAAAGTAAACAAAAAAAAATGTATCAAAGCGAAAGAAACGAAGAAAAACAATCTACTCGATCATACCACAAAATGAATGTTCTCAAAAGCGGACTGACGGACGTACAACTTTCAATTTTACTCCGTATATACATATTAATATGTACATACATGTGTACATACATTTGGTGAGAACATCGCCTGAAGGAGCGACACCAATGGCCGAATGCAAAATTTGGAGCTTTAAGATGTAGTGTAGTCTCCTTGTTTTCTTTTCTCGTCCCCACCCCTACCTGCTACTCGAGAGATCTTATGCACTCTCCCTTGCCCTACCGAACTCATGCCAACAACAAAATCACACGTAAGACTTAAACTTAAATTTACATTTTAATAATTTTTGCTTACTTCCTATATTCTGAATCTAAGCTCCTATGTACTAATACAATGTTTGACTATATGTTGTTTTTATTCTTTTTCTCTCGTGTACTGTAAATTTTACTAAAAGATAAGGAATTGAACACCCAAAGAAAAATACGAAATTCATTGACATGAATTTTTGTATTACTACATAGTACACGAGATCATGTTATTTACTCAAACTAATTTTAATTCATAAAATTAGGTAAGTATGTATGTATCAGGAAAAAATAACGATTTAAGGTAGAGCTCACACGTCGATGTGTAATTTTGAACGTAGCCTAGCTCCCTGTTTGCACAAACAAGTGAGGTTTGTAATTTAGCTTAAATTAAATTTGTAACTTCGCGTTTGGTTATTTTCTTCCTTTTCTCTTAATGGTACGATTTAAGGTTTTCGATTCATATACATAGTTTTTTTCCTCGTTTTTTTGTTTTGTTGTTTTTTTTTTTTACTTAAAAGAAAAACTTTACAGATACAGAATTAAATGTGCTTAGATACTACATTAATAAATTTGTTTAGAATTCAGTTCAAAGTCTAATATAAAGTTACATTATGTTGTAGAAATTTTTTTTCCCCCCTTTTTTTGTTTCGTTAAGGAATTATTTTTTTCTCTTGAACGATCTTCAAATTTTTAAGATTACCAATTATTTAATGGAAAGGAGTTGGGTGTATAATACTTCTCTACATTCCTAGCTCTATACGCAAAGCAGGCGGTTTGTTTGTTCTAGTGAGATTTACGCAAGTGTGCGCAAACCATAAAATCGATAATACATCTACCGAAAAGAAATCTCTCAGATAAAAGCAAATTTCCTATAACATGAATCCTTACGAAATTCAGGGAGTGAATTGGGACCAAAAGGGCTTTTCGTCCAACCTCTGGAACTCACGCTTCGGAATACGCGGTCGCAGCCACTTCAGTTAAGAATGTGGTATTCTTATTTTTGGTTTTTCTCCCACAAATTCTAATGGATTTAAAAAAAAAAACACTGCTTATCCATTCGAATGACTCGGGAACTTTAGTTTGTCACAATCAACACATATAGAACGTAGATTAGTTAAAAATTTTGCGATTTTAAATAACTTCTCTATACCATAAACTTTTCACTTTAGAGGTCGACGACGAAATGGCAGCGGAAATGCCGGTTATGCATGTACTTTGTGACGTTTTTACCTTTTCGTTGACTCTTGATCGTGTTATGCTTGTCAAGCATTATCTAAAGGCTCAATTAGAGCTCCTAAAAGAAGACAAGATAGTCCAAGAAGAAACATGTATGGTGAAATTATAAAAGAAGATATCTTCAAGGCAACCATCACAAAGCAGGTTTTAAAAGACGAAAGTCGGTAGGAATTTAAAAGCTGAGGGAAAAAAATGGTTGACTGCATTTTGTTGGATGAAATGTACGACTCAATTATAGTTTTTGGATATCTTTCGCATGGAAGGTACCGAGAAGCTTACCCGAGTGGTCTTCTAAGATGTAATAAGAAGTTCCCACACGGTCACGGACCCGTACCTTTACGTAGGTTTTGGCGAGCTTTCCACAAAATTTTCTTGAAGCATTGCTTAATACAAAGTTTTTTCTTAATACTTCATCCCCAATATTGAATGATTTTGGCCGAAAACGTAAATTATATCTGCTAGCGTTGGTGTCGTGAGCCTTTTGTAAATTAATTCGTACTGAATCTCGAACTAACCCTAATTTGTCATGTCGATGACAACGGTTTACTACCCTACCTCATTTATCATACCTAGCTCACGAAGTAGTTTATAATCAGTACCATGCGTCACCATATGCTGACCAAATACCACAAAGTATGGCGTTTGCGAAGTCGTCCGGTGGATGGAATTTAATAAGGCACAGTTTATAGCACTCAAATGGGTATCCTATTCCCGCTGATCATCTTTAATGTACGCGCGAAGAGCAGCATTAATGGATCTATTTACTCTTTCTGAACTATTACTCTAAGGAGAATAAACTGCAGTCAATACGTGCTTTATACCGCAGTTGGAAAGGAATCTTTTAAACTCGATTGATCGAAATTGACTTCCATTATCACTCACTAAAAACTCTGGAATACCAAAGATATCAAAAACGCTTTGTTTTAGAAAATTGATTATGGGAGCTGTAGCAAACCTTTTAGTGGACATAGGAAGGTAAACTTGGACAAATGATCTAGGACTATTAATATGCCAATGTGGCCGTTTTTCGATCTGGGAAATGGGCCTGTAAGGTCGATGTACAATCTTTGAAATATTCTCTCACTGGGTATGAATTTCCACATTGGAGGTCTCAAAATTTTGGTAAGGTGTTTTGTGGTTTTACAGGTCTCGCAGCTTAAGACATAACCTCTTACTGAGCTAAACAGTCCCGGCCAATAGAAATATCTTTGAATCTTTTCGGCCGTTTTCGCTATACCTCCATGAGCACACGTACCAATATCGTGCGAATTGTATAAAACTTGTTGCCTTAGTGCGTCGGGCACAAAAAGCTTCCAGGTGGTATCTTGTTGGTCTGGATCGCCAGTATAGAACTCTGTCCGGTGATAAACAAACTTGTCTCTTATCTGAAAATCTGGATATCTTGCGGGGTTGTCTTGTATTTATTTGCGCAATTGAGTATAATCAGAGCTTTCAAATTCATTCGATTGAAGATCGATGATAGGTAGTACATCAATATTGTCTGCCATTGCATCCAACCAATGCGAGACAGCGTGTCTGGCACAATATTATCCGTCCCCTTACGATGCTCTATGGTAAAAACAAAAGTCTGGAGCTTTAGTGCCCACCGCGCCAACCTACCACTAAGGTCAGCCTGCTTCATAAACCACTTCAAACTGGAATGTTCCGTTACAATTTTAAACTCTTGACCTTCAATGTATGGTCTGAACTTTTTAACATCCAGGACTGCTGCCAAACATTCTTGTTCCGTAACGGAATAATTACGTTGGGCTTTATTCAACTTTTGACTCATATAAGCAATAGGAATTTCTTCGTCGTGGTCGTTTAACTGCGCCAGCACTGCCCCTACTCCATATTTACTAGCGTCGCATTGTATAATAAAGGGTTTGTAAAAGTCGGGATTAGCTAATAAGGGTGCTGTAGAGAGCCGCGTTTTAAGCATAACGAATGATTCCTGCACTTCATCTTTCCGTTCAAATGTATGACCTTTTTTTTAGCAGTTCTGTCAGAGGATGAGAGATAGTAGCAAAATTGGCTATAAATCGCCGATACCAGCCGGCCATTCCAAGAAAACGACGCAGCTGCTTCACGGACGTTGGGGTGGGAAGATCTGTTATGGCTGAAACTTTTTCAGGATCCGTCTTCAAGTTTCCTTACCCGACAACGTAACCCAAATACCGTACTTGTTTTAAGCAGAATTTACTTTTATTTATATTTATTGTTAAATTGGCGCTGCGAATAAGGGTAGCGACTTCTTGTAAAAGTTGAATATGGGAGTCGAACGTTTCAGATATAAGAAGAAGGTCATCTAAGTATACAAATACCCTTTCTTTCAAGTTATAAGGTATAACCCTATCCATTAGGCGGCACATGGTCTGCGGGGCATTACATAACCCAAACGGCATTACTTTAAACTGATACAAGGGTCGGTTTGGTACCGTAAAAGCCGTTTTATCGCGAGAACCCTCCTCCAGCGGAATTCGCCAGAAGCATCTTTTAAGTCCAGGCTGGAAATAAATTCTGCGCGAGGAAGCCTGCTCAATATTCCCTGAATGTGCGGCAATGGATAAATATCCTTCACCATTTACTAGCACCACCGGCGATGACAATATAGTCCATTGTAACTCCTCAATTACTCCCATAGCCAACATTCGATCAATTTCCTGTCCCATAAGTTTCTCAATAGCTGGAGAGATTGGGTAATGCCGCTGCTTAATTGGTTTTGCCGAACCTACATCAATAACGTGCTCTACGAAGCTGGTCTTTCCTAAACCCTGTTCTTCAAATGAAGGAAAAAGTCTTACAGCTGCTTTAAGTTTTTGTTCCTGGATCGCCGATAATATGTACATGTTATCGTCTGCAGGAACGTCGGTTAGTTCGCTAACAATATTGGGTGCTATCGCAAAAGATTTCCAAAAGTTAATGCCTAAGTATAAGTCTTGGCTCAAGCTGGGTACAATATAGA